ATATTTTGCTCTCTTATCTCCACCCAAACTCCCCTTCTTTACTCGACTACACAACCACAGCTCCTATTCCTCCAACCCATCGTAACTCCACATTTCTATTTGAAGACCCTGCCCTACTCACAAACAACCCGACTCAATCTCGTCGTCTGAAGGTTCTTCTCCTCACGATCCACACAGTTCGGACTCTGCAAGCTCTCAGCCGAACACTCCCCCTCCGTCCCCTCCAAGCTGCACACAGCCCGCCTCTAGCACCATACTCTTATTTTATACCATTTCCATATATACTTGATGATTGTGGTTGCGTTCATGGATTTAATCAAATGTTTTAGGAATTGGATTTATTTGATCATTCAAATCTAAATACCAGCTTTGCTTAAATGATCTCAAATATGTGATAAATTTTTAATGCAAGATCTTCTTTGGTAAATCATTGATTATGTGGGAGCCCTAATTCACACAGCGTTGATCGTTTAGTATGTTATATGCATCATAAGTTTTAATTGTTTTTATTAGATTGTTTACTTATAAAGCAACGTTGTGTGCCAAATTCGCATTGTTTAGCATCTTATTAAAGAAAAATAAAAAAAAATAACCACATTTTACAATGCATTGCAAGCATAATCTTTTTTATTTAAAGTTGCATCCACATCTAAAACTCTAGTCTTTATACATTCCTTGGTCACTTTGCTTGGTTACTCTTCATGTTGTGGTAATAGTATTATACATGTCACTGTAACAGCTTTCTCCATAACCGTGTGTTATGGTATTCTGGCTATGAATTAATTTGATGTGAAACAACCAATGGAATTGCAGGATCTTATTAAGAAATTTGTTTCCGTAATGAAATTATAACATTAATGATTCACTAAGTTTAGGATTTTCAGTTTTCGTAGTTATTGACTTGCCTCTAGCATGCGGTTATACATTAGATTAACAGAGCGATCCGAAATAATGACAAGAAAATAGTAAACAAATATGCGATTAACAATAATCCACTACTTAACAATTAGAACTTTCACCTTAGAGTTTCCCTCTCGATCATTCTTTGGAAGTAGGTTTAGCGGAGGACAAAAGTAAGCAAGCCCAGTGATGCCACTGCAAGACAGAGGATGCCAGAGATTTTGATCAACGGAGAGTTGGCCGGAGTTGGAGAGACAGGTGGTCGTCCTACAATCTTCCAATTTCCTGTAGGTTGTTGCTCTTCGATGACGTCTGCCAAGGTAAGAGAATATGCTCCACGTATTCTTCGACGGTGCCTTCGGACCCAAATCCGGGATCGAAGAACGGTGATTGAATGATGTCAACTTCCTCTTGAGAATCGTAAACTAATCCGTGATCAACTTCCGGATCCGCCATGCATTCTTGTCGGGTGATGAAAGGGAACCAATGTCAGGAAGAGGGGGAGGAGAGGTGGAAGTGGCGGTTTGGGAGGGGATGGGCTTTGCCGTGAGCTAGAGGGAGAGGGAGGGAGTGGGCCGTGAGGGTGGACGGGTTAGGGCTCGGGTGAGGATGATTAGGGGCGAGTGGAATGGGTGGAGGGAGGGAATAATCCTGAATTTAATTTCAGGTTTCCAAATAAAGAGAGGATTAATTTCAAATTCATAATTTTAAATTTGAAATTAGGCTAGGAGGGAAGGGGGATTAATGGTGTATTAATGGGAGAGAGAGAGAGGGTGGGGTGGCCGGCCATATAGGGAGGAAAGAGGGGCTTGGGATTTAAGTAAGTGGGGCCCATGGGTTAATAAATAAATTCTAATCAAATTTGATTTTAATTTCAGATTTGATTAAATTTAAAATAACTTTCCAATTTGGTTTAATATGAGAGGGAAAAGGGTTTGAATTTCAAAATAGGTTTAAATTCCCTTAATTGACTTTCCTAAGTAGAGAAAGACTAATTAGGAAAGTAATTTAATCAAGAAGAATTTGAAATTCAAAAACATTAGGGTCAATGGGGAGCCGGCGGCAAGGTTGGAGGCAAGGGGGGCGGCGGGCTGGTAGCCGGCCGTGGGAGCTGGGTGAGCCGCCGGTGGCTGGATCGGCCAGGAGGGGCCGGCGGTGAAGCTATGGGGGCCGGTGGGGAATTGGGAGGGTGGTGAGGCTTCGGTTAGGTAGGGAAGAGGAAGATAGGTGTAGGGGAAAGGGAAAATCTAGAACTACAAACCTCAAGTACCACCTCCACTAGAACTCACAAAGAAATCCTCAAGTACCACCTCCTCAAGAACTCACAAAGAGATCTTGAGAAATTTCAAGAACTCACAAAGAGATCAATAATAGAAAACTTCATTCATCAACATTATTAGCCAAGAATACAAAGACTAGGCCTCCAAAGCACAAAATATAAAAGACAAAAATACCCTCAGGGGCTGTTTGGTATCGGATTTATCGTGGGATTTAAGTCGGATTTAAGCTAAATCCAGCCAAACTGTTTTTGTGCGCGCGTTAAATCCCGGATTTACGGATTTACGGCTTAAATCCCGGATTTACTAAATCCCTCGGTTCGGTGGATTTAACATTTCAAAATCAAGATGCAACCCTAATCCCCTCATAACTCCCTATTAATACAATCTAAGTCAAATTAAAAGCAAAAGGACTTCCCTACCCTTCCTTCTCCCTCCAAAAACACTTATACCATGTTTGAATTGCAAGTGGACCCCACCCCAAGCCCCTTTCTCCCTTCCGCCTCTTCTCTGTGCCGCCTCCGCCTGAAGAAAACCCCGGACCGGCTGGGCCGGTCCAGGTTGGGCCGGTCCAGGCTGGACCGGCATAACAGAGGGAAAATTTAGAGAGCTCAAACCTCAATTACCACCTCCGCAAGAACTCACAAAGAAATCCTCAAGTACCACCTCCTCAAGAACTCACAAAGAGATCTAGGGAATTTTCACAAACTCACAAAGAGATCTAGGGAATTTTCACAAACTCACAAAGAGATCAACCATAGAAAATTTCATTCATCAACATTCGAAAAATAATACAAAGACTAGGCCTTTATATATAGGCCTCAAAAGCACAAAATGTAAAAGACAAATGCCCTCGGCTACAACATGACACAAATCCCTCATAGGGGTACAAATGGAAAACTGAAAAATAAATAAAAGAAATGCACTAAAACACATAAATAAAAACTATGAATCGTAGTCGTCGATCTACGATCCTGCCGATGTCGAAATGTACGGTGGATGTCCTCATCATAATTAGGATCTTTTTTACTTGTATCATTTAGTTTATTTTCGTTCTTTTAATTTATGTATAGTATTAATTAACTTGCTTGAATGGTTTAGATTTTCTTATGTTCTATATAAACTTTGTGTTTTTTTTTAATGAAGAATACAAGATTGAATAAGAAAGTTTACAGTCGTAACAGGCTTGAGAAAAAAAGGGAGCAGCTTTCTGCTTTCTTGGAGAGGCTAAAACTTTTTTGGCATTAGAATAATATAATTTTATTCAAGGTGAAATAAAAAAAAAACCTACCCAACCTATATTCAATTATCTCTTCCATCAATTAAAAAGGCGTTCGAGGCGGACGCCTCGAGGCGCGCCTCGAATCGAGGCAGAGGTCGGGCGAACTGAGGCTTAAGCCTCGAACGTCCGGGCAAGGCTTATGCCTTTTTCCATGGAGGCGTACGCCTCAATATGTGAGGCGCCGAGGCGCATCGAGGCAGCGCCTCGAAAGGGAGAAAGTTACCTTCAAAGCCAGCGAGCCAACGAGCTCCCGTTGTTTCTTCTTATCAAAATGTCGTAACTTATGATCCGACAAGAAGGGAAAGTCGTTGAAGGAGCGCAGTCGAACAGCCACAAAGGAGCCAAAGAAGCGACGCGTGTAATCTCTACACCTCCTATGAAGCAACGAAGCCGAACAACAAGGACGAAAAGAGAAGATGAAAGGCAAACCCTAGACGCAGCTAAGTTATTATTGATTAACTTAATTAATATAATTTAAATATTAATAATTAAGCAAATTAATTAAATACTTAATAGTATAATTAGTACATAAATTAATTGACTAATTAGTAATATAATTATTAATTAAATATTAATATAATTAGCCTAGTTAATATAAATTAAAATATATATTATTAAATATATAATTAATAGTATTAATAATAATTATTGAGTAGCTTGTACCGCTCAGTACATGCTCGGTACCGAGCCAGTACCGCTCGGTACTGAGCAAGTATATGCTCGGTACTGAGCGGTACATGCTCGGTACCACTAGGTACACTCTCGGTACCAAGCCAGTACCACTAGGTACATGCTCGATATTGCTCAGTAAATGCTCGGTACCGAGCCAGTACCGCTCGGTACCGAGCGGTACATGCTCGGTACCGAGTGGTACGTGCTCGACACTGTTAATTACTTTATTTTTATAATTTTTAGGCTTACGCCTCGATTCGCCTCGAGGCTTACGCCTCGCCTCGCTTAGCCAAAACGCCTCGATTTCCGATTTCGCCTTTTAAAACGTTGATCTCTTCCATCATCAAGAGAGCTTAGCCTTAAGTTCTATTTGAAATTTTGTTGTCTCTGAGGAATGGATGAATGTGAATGAATTGAAATTTTAGAGTTGGTAGTTGCCTTGGGGAAACCATAAAAATCTACCCTTTGTTTTGCACATTCAATAATCCTATTAGCAGTTCTCTTTTTATTTTCTTGTTAGTAGTGAGCGAGTTTAAAGAAACAATTGCATTTATCTTTTTATATTGAGGGTCTATTTTCTGTTTTTTTTTTAGTTATGAGGAGGAGCTTTTTATAATTAGATCTGTTAGAATGTCATAACTGTAAGAAAATTGATATATATCTTTTTCAGAATAGAAAAGACTTATAATACTCACATTTGCTTAAAAAAAATTTATTTCCCTCGCATCAGTCATACAACTACTTTTACAAATACCTGAAGCTTCCCCAAACGAGCTCTCATGAGTTAGATTTATTGATTAAGCTGTTTACTGTTCTGAAAGATGTACTAATTGGTTCATTTTTTAACACATTATTCTTAAATTTTGCAGGTAATTGTGAATAAATCACGTGCAAAGTTACGTGCCTGCATGAAGAATATCGCTATTCAAATTGATGATTTACAGAAGGTTCCTTATGTCACTGAGGAGATAAAATCAATGCTTTGTTCTAATCCAAGTGTATCCTTGGAAAAGGATACCCCATATTGCTTCCTCTCTCGCATTGAAAATTCGTTCTTTGAACTTACTCTTGGATGCAATCTCAAAAATATGGTAGGTTTTCATTCTTCATTTCTTATTCGTGGCTTCCATTGAAGTTCCTAATCCACAAATATAATATAATGGTTGATGCGCACATTTCTGGCTGCATTGATAAAATCATAATTTATCTGAATTACTACAATTTTAGATTAATAGGAATGGATGCACTGTATTCTTTATCGTAGTTGCTGTTAACCCACAAGAACAACTCATTTGAAAACGCAGATAAATTCGCTGTACCGCAGGAATAACTTACCTGCATCTTAGTAGGTCTATATATACTTAACTGTACTAAGTTTTTAGATGAATGAATGAAATCTTTCTATTTCGGTTTTATGCTTCTTGTCTTTCTGCTTGGTCTCGTCATTCATCATGATATCAGAGCACGGTTATTTTTTTTTCCTTTTTCTCTCCTTTCTCTCTGTCAAAGTTCGTCATGGAGTTATCTTCTACCTCCCCTCCAACCATCGATTCATTGAATACATTCAATTCTATCACCATTCCCTCACAGCTCAAGTTCTTGATGGGTAACATCAAGAATCTTGTCTCCAATTCTCTGACCTTTGACAATTATCCCATATGACGTTCTCAAATCGATAAGATATTTGCTGCAAATGGTTTTAAAGGATTTCTTGATGGTTCAACCAATTGTCCACCACAAATTCATCCTGTCGACAACTCCAATTCGGTTTCACCTCCGTCATATGATGCCTGGCAGCTTCTAGATCAGAATCTTGCTGCCGCATTACTGTCAGTTGTTTGGCCCTCCATTCTACTGCTTTATTCAGATTTTCTTCAACTAACTTCATATCTAGTCTTGGATTGGGCTAGGGATCAAACTTATTGAAAATCAACAACTGGATAATGCACTTTTTTGGGTTTTTCAATCGTGTCATGGAGTGTAAAGAAACAAACTACAATCGCTAGATCGTCTACAGAGGCAGAATATCGTACTCTCGCATCTACAGTTGCTGAAATTATCTGGACTAGTCAACTCCAAGAGTTAGGCTGTTATCAACATGATCCCACAACGCTCTTTTGTGATAACACATCAGCTATCGCATTAGCTAATAATCCAGTATTTCACGCACGTACTAAGCACGTCGAAGTGGACTGTCATTTCATTCGAGTGTGTATCAAAAACAAATCTATACAAGTTTATCATATATCGAGCAAGGATCAAACATCATATATATTCACCAAAGCATTACCCATTACTAGATTTCTTCATTTATCCAACAGACTGACATCTATCGACTCATCAATTTGCAAGGGGGTGTTAACCCACATGAACAACCCAATTGAAAACACAGATAAATTCACTGTACCCCAGGAATAACTTACCTGTATCTTAGTAGGTCTATGTATACTTAACTGTACTAACATTTTAGATGAATGAATGAAATCTCTGTATTTCTGTTTTATGCTTCTTGTCTTTGTGCTTAGTCTCGCCATTCATCAGTTGTGTGACGCTTTTTGTAACAGTTCATCTTTGAATTAGGCATATCCAATAATAATTTATAGTAAGTAATTGTATGTATCTTCTGATTGGTTAGCTCTTTTTAGGGAGATTTATGGCCTAGCATTCTGTAACATATATTTCTTGGTTTTAGAAAAAAGATGAGCTATATGCAACAGAGCAAAATATTCTGCTGCAAGCGGCAACAATTATTAATAAGCATGGAGCTAAAATTGGCTGCAACTTATGATTTCTACAGCAACTGATTTGGAAAGAACAGTTTATGCTCAAGAGGTATGGATTATCACCTATTATGAGTAAACATATATTTTTTGTAAGTTGACATCTTCATGTATATGATAGTTACATGACTTGGAGGTCATGAGCTTGAGTCATGGGAGTAGTATCATTGCAATGCATGAGTGGTTATGTACATCAACTGCTGGGGAATAAAGCAAGACCTCATTCAAATCAATGAGAATAAGACTATGTTTGGGATGACTTTTTCATTGCTTTTTAAAGTAGTTTTTTAGTGTAAAAATTTTAAATTCAAGAAAAATTTTAACTAAAAAGTTGTTTTAGAAAGCATTAAGAAAGTTGCCCCAAACGAAGCCTAAATAAAAAAAAAAAAAAAAACACACACAAGATATCAATAATTTTGCAGAGATTCGCCCAATTGGGGAACATCTTATTTCCCTTAAAAAAAAAACACACAAGCCTAATCCATGATGGAGTATGTGTAAGAAATTTCTTTATAGTGCGTTAATTAGACTCACAACTTATCATCAATTTCTTTATAGTGCGTTAATATGCCTCTTTTTTGTGCTAACAGTTCTCAAACAATTCTGCTTTGCAGTCATGATGTCAGTAACCAGATATCACTATTTTGTGATGCAATTACATAGGCATAAAAAAAATTTGTTTTTTGTTGTTCAAAATCTCATCTTTGAACATACTGAAAACATTTGAAAAGACTTTTCGTTAAGAATTTGTGATGCAGTTTTGTATCTACACAAGCCCTGTCTTCTATAAATTGTTGGAGTTTGCTCCAAATCTCGTCTTCCAAATTAATTTTTATAACTGCACCTGTAGTTAGAAACAATCCTTATGCCTTTAATAATGCAATTGATTTGCTCATAATGAAGCTCCATACCTACAGGTAATATGTAGAAGTTTTTATTATCATCAGATGGTCCTAGCTCCTGAGTTTTAACAAGAGCTTTCGATGCTGCTGCTCTACTGTGGAGCAATAACTTAGGTGAGTAATGGTTTGATTAGAATTTTAGTGTGAGATGGAATTTGTATTTTCAATCCGTTAGTTTTATTCCTAATTATCGTCATTAGTTGTTTTTTTTTTAAATTTTTTTAATTTTTATAAGCTCCCCCTAGTTTTCATGCTGTGAAAGCAACTTACAATTTTCTGTGATCCCCTACTGTTGCCAATGAAAGCTGATAGTGAAGCTAATGCTGAGCTTTTCCACTGGAATGTTGTGCATGTAGTTTGCTGAAAATGACACTGGAATGAATGTTCCGTTGTAGTTCCACTTATTCGATTGATTGTTTCTTTGAATTTCTTGAAATATATTATGTAATTTGTGGTTTATGGAGAGGGCTGTTGCCTATTCAATCAGCTGACCCTGGCGCAAGCTTGGCGAAAGTCATTAGATCTGATCTTGAGACGAACCAAGTCAGAATAAACTTTGGCTTGATCCAAACTCGATTCAACTCAGGCATGGCTAGCTAAATTTGATCCAAGTTTCATTTGAGCCAAACTTTGATCCGATCATTATTAAATCTCTCTCTCTCTCTCTCTCTCTCTCTCTCTCTCTCTCTCTCTCTCTCTCATGCAATGGTGCTCACTTTGGAAGGCATGAAGGAACCAACATGTGTAAGGAGAAGAGGTGGTTGGGGAAGGCATCTCAACAGAGCCCTGCATTGGGTACCTATACCCACACCCACCCATGTACCCACCCATATGTATAGGTACGCCCATGACCTTGTGGGTGGGTATGGGTGGGTACTAAATATTGAGGGATAAATCGATTTACATTGATAATCACCGTATAACTTATTTATACTACTACAATCATCACTACGTATTGTGTAACACTTAACCACACTACGAGTACGATAAATTTTGATATGCGACTTGAAAGTTTGTCATCATAGCAAATGACAATAAGCCTCAAGGCCATCACTTCGTGGCAGACTGCGTTCAAAAAACATGGAAAGTGGGTTGGTATAGGTGGATACGAAATCCCGGAAGTCACCATAGGTGGGTGTGGGTGGGCGAAGCTCGTCCGAGTCATGGGTACCCAACCAGGACATCATGTAGGGCTTTGCATCTCAAGATCATGCCTGTGATGGAGGTCATTGGGGAATGCGTTGTGGGATTGATGGTTGTGATGAAAGAGGTCATTGGGGAAGGCACCTCTTTTCATTAGTTTGTATTGGGTTTTGTCGCGTAATACAAACTAATGAAGGGGTACTCCTCACTTGAGAGGGTTTCTTTCTTTTTGTTTCTGTCTGCGGCTTGATTTGGGATGCTTATCTAGTTGTTTCCCTTACCTTTTTATCTTTGGGAAGTGGTAGTATTTCCCCCACAAGCTTGTTTCTCTCAGTGTATCCTTCTTTCATTTTAATATATTTGTGAGTTAACCCAAAAAAAAAAAAAGGTTATTGGAGAAGGTATCGCTTGAGATGATATTGCAGAGGAATGCATAGTTTGGCCGACGCATAAGAAGAAGAGAGGAGTTTGTAATGAGAAGGCACTGCACAATCAATGTATGTGAAGAGAAGAGGTCAGGGTTGGTGATGGAACTCGTAGGGGAAAGGCGTCGATGTGATTGTTAACATGTGGAGGGAGGGGGTTGCGATGTTGCGATGTTGGAACATGATTTGATTTTAGCTTTAAAACTAGTTTGAACTTGGTTTGAATTTGTGCTTGACTCAAGTTTTAAATTCAAATATGTTTGAACTAATTTCAAATGTTTGGACTTTTTAAAATATGTTCGATATTACAAGAGGTTATTGTTTATTAGGTTTAAATTTTTCCAAAAGGACTTCTAGGAATATTTCTTCAAGAAAAGAAATATTAGGGATATATTTTCAATTATATGCATTATGAGTCACACAATATCAAATATATATATTTGCGTCTTGGAGTATTCGCGAGAGTAGAGAAATATAAAGTTTAATGTCTTAACTTTGTATGAAGATTTATCACATAAACAGATGAAATATAGAGGTATAATGGTCATAAGAAATATTATGATTTTCACGTGGAAAATATTAAAAGGGAAAAAATCATTGGGCTGGCCCATTTGAATGAATTCACTTATGTTTGTAGTTGATTACAAATGAGGCTTTTCTTTATGGGGAAGACCTTGGCTCGATGTAACCAATGTACATCATATACAGTGCATTAAATGGTGGGATTTAGAAGAATTAGTGTTGATATTTTTGCTTGCTCGGCAAGACTTTAGTTGATGAGTGATGAGATTGAAAGGACAGTAGTTTGGTGACGGTGGCGGAAGGATCATAGTCGGATAACAGAAGTCGAAAATATCATAGTTGAATGGCGACGGAGGTCAGAAAGATCATTGTCAAGTGACGACAGTTGGGGAGACTGTACTATGGAGGTGATATTTTAAGAGGCTGTCTGCAGGTGACGGAGGTCGGAGAGACTTTAGTCGGCGGGCTTCGATGGTTAGAAAGACTGTAGTTAGGGATGGTATTTAGGAGGAAATTTAGCGATAATCAGTGGCCAGGTATAGGTCCAATGATAGTTGATGATTGGGCAAAAGTCGGCAAAATCCCGATGACAGTCGACGGTAGAGCGTAAATCCATAGTCAATTGGTGGCCGGGCGAAAGTCGGTGGCCTGACATAAATCTGGCGTTAGTTGGGACCCGATAGAAGTCCGACAATAATCGATGGCTGACTTAAGTCCATTGACAGTTGGTGACCGGGCGAAAGTTCGACAAAAGTCGGTGGCCGGGCATAAATCTTGCGTCAGTTAGTGGCCGAGTGGAAGTTTGACGATAGTTGTTGGCTGGGCAAAAGTACAGCAATAGTTGGTGTTCGTGCAAAAGTCCGGCGACAGTCAATGGCCGGGCAAAAGTCCGGTGACAGTCAATGGCCGGGTGGTGGTCAAGGAGCATGGTGACTAGAGGGATATCAGATTTATCTTCATCTCTCTTCTTTCCTTCCTCCTTTTCCTTGCTTGGTCCTCTCCTTAATGAAAAGTGAGTGATTTATTTATAATTTTTTTGGGAGTAGCATGCCCATTAAATTAGGAGAAGATTAAGAGCATGTTGGGAATGTTTTCAATGGACAGTCGATATTAACTCCCTTGATCATAGACCATTTATCAAGTATTTGAGTGTCTTAATAATATTAGAATTTGGCAATCTTGGGCTCGTTGGATTCGTCTCGTTGAGCCGCTCGATTCAACTATAAGCATGTCACATTTGGAAATCATTTGATTGCCCAATTTATAGTTTGAACCTTCTAAATGTGCTTCGGGTACTTGATTTGAATCCATTTATGCTCGGATTGAATTGAATTTGGTGTCGTTGGGTTCGTTTTTTTGAGATATTTAATTCGATGTCAAATTTGTTAAAATCAAAGTTCAGATGGTTTTGAATTTACTGCATAATCGCAAATTGAATCAATCAGATTCAAATCCAATTCAAAATTAGCACAAAGATCTAGTCAAGTAAAAAAACTTGAATTATAATTTTGCGATCTGCGCTAAAAATTAAATCAATATTATACCAATTTTCTCTCTTTGAGCTAAAATTTCTAACCCTTTTCATGATTGACATAAGCTCTAATTGATTTCTATAGTGTAAAGCAGGCAATAAAGCCGAGAGAACTTTGTTCTTTTCTTTTCCTTAAATATTCTCTCATAAAAAGTTGAGATATTTTATTCCTGGAATAAAGCTATCGTACCTAAAGGTAACCTTCCATGTCGCGCAAGGATGGATTGGGGGAAAAAAAAAACTGCCGTTTGATATTCTGTTAAATTTATATCATAATAAAAATATTAAATTTTAAATTATAAAAATGAGAAAAGAATTCGAATTAGTCCCCAAATTTTTTTTAAAGGATCAAAATAATCCTTTGATTGCAAAAAAGTACTAATTTGATACCTTAACTCTTTAAATAAAAATCAAATTAATTATTTTATGAGATCATTTAATTTTATACATAAAAAAATCAAATAATTAAAATATTTAGCTTTCATGATATTTTATTATTTTAATATCTTATCGTTATGTATAAAAAATTTATCCAGTTAATTTGATACAAATTTCTTTCAAAAGATTTTGCCTTTTTTTTTTAAGCAAAACAAAAAATATATTAATAGCAAAAGATGCACCACGAGATCATAGTAGGGCCACATCAGGAGTTACAATCAGAGAAACACAAAAAATAGCAAGTTAAAAATAATTTGAGTGAAAGATAGATCAAATCCGTAGTAATAGGACTCAGACCGACACCTAATTGCCATGGAGGGGCCATCCAAGGAAGATCAAATAAACTGTCAGGAAACTAAACCAACAACCCACACCGAGCCACCAAGGTTGCCAACCAAATCCTGGCCATCCAAGGCGCATGCAGTAAGATTGCTTTCTTATAGTCCTGTGCCAAAACAATCAAAGCAATCGAAATCGAAATAAACCTAAATACCACAACCACAAAACAAGCAAAAGTGAAAATCATTTTTTCATAGATTTCTTTTTACGATGCCTAATGTAATTATCAAGCGAGCCAGTTTTCATGTTTTCAATAATATCCTCCCCTCCAGCCGACGACATGTCATCATATACCAATCACATTGCCACCGAACACTATCTCTAGCAAGAAGTGCTAACATATTAGCATTTGAAATAACGGAAATATGCACATCCACCAGAGGCTGCAAGACTCCTACTTCCCCTAAGTCAGCCAAGGGTTCATCACCACCATCGGCTAAAGAAACCGAAATATCATCTCACAACTTCACACCATCAACATAAAGATTTTGCCCTCCCTAGGCGTTATATGTAGTTTTAGGTTTCATTTGGGACGGTTTTTTATTGATTCTTAAAACCGTTTTTTAGTATAAAATTTTTAATTTTTATACTAGAA